GCAAAGCCACCTTGAACCTCGCCTTATCCCGCCTTTCTGTGCTCAAGAACCAGCGCCACGCTCGCTGCTCGATTGCCCGCTCTGATGTGGTTGAGCTTCTTAACCTTGGCCACCATGATAGAGCTCTTCTAAGGGTAATCTTTCTAATTTTTAAAGCCTTTCTTTGACATTCATCAAGAATCTAGTTGAACTTGGATACAAGAAATATTTGTTTTAATTACTGTTTTTCACTTTTAAATTGTTGCTATTATTTTGAAAAATGGTTTGTAGGTTGAGCAAGTGATAAAGGAGCAGAATATGTTGGACGTGTTTACTATTATAGAGGGCTATTGCCATCTGTTGATAGAGAGAATCGACCTCATTGAACAAGAAAAGTTGGTTTCTTCTTCCTTGTTTGAGATCTTCAATTTCTTTTTAATGTTTTGTTTTTCGTAATTTTGTTTTTTGTTCTGTCTTTTAGAGTATGTCCTGATGAATTGAAGGAAGCTGCATCAAGCTTGATTTATGCCACTATAAGATGTGGGGAATTCCCAGAGCTTCAAGAGATTCGAGCGATTTTCATATCACGATATGGGAAAGAATTTGCAGCTCGCGCTGTTGAATTGCGCAACAATTGTGGAGTTAATCCTCAGGCAGGCAACGATATCATATATTTAAGAGAGATTAATAAGATGTTTAGTTTCTAATGTTTTTATTCTTATGTGCAGATTATACGAAAGCTGTCAACTAGAATGCCAAGCTTGGAGAACAAAATGGAGGTTGTTAAGGCGATTGCTTCGGAGCATAACATTGTTTTTCAAGTTGAGGAGACTCTATCAGCCACTAGAGCGGTATGCAATTTATAATGGGGAAATTTTTATTCATTTTTCGATCATTTATGAACATTAAATGATGCTCTTTTGGTGCTTCTCAGGAGATTCTGGATTCAGACGAGAATCAGCAGATGCAGAAAAGCCTGTCCACACCGATACAGCCTGAAGAAGTAGAAAGGGTCGGAGATTTCTCGGGTTCAGTTAAAATGAGGAAGAAATACAAGGATGTGGCTGATGCAGCCCAGGCAGCTTTTGAGTCAGCAGCTTATGCTGCAGAGGCTGCAAGAGCGGCGGTTGAACTCTCTCGGTCGGAATCAACCGATCCCGATGACCCGAGTAGTCCCAACATTCGTCCCAGGAAGGTATCAGCTAAGCTCAAACCTGTGAAATTTAGACTTCAAACCGATGATGATACACGAGGTCAACTGAAATTTGAGAAAATTCATTCATTTCAGAACAATGACTTGGAAAATAAAGATGGAAGTTTACGTATGGAGCAGTTTAAGCAGAATGAGAATGGAACGCAATTTAGCAGATCGCCGTCTGAATCTAGTTTGGATTCGGTAGATGACAATGTGAAGGAATCTAACATGTCATTTCATGAAAAGAGGCAGACACAGCCATTAGAGAGGGAGATAGTTTTTGATGAAAATGAACAAGGAAGTATAACACCATTATCACATGCTTATAACTTGCATTCGAACATTAAAGATGAGATGCCAGAAGGGAGCAGCAGAAATCCTCAATATTCATCTCGCACGTTTTATCCTTTCAGATCTCAAGCTCGACTGGCGTTGGAGTCGAGGACTGCCAATTCTCAGGTAAACTTTGTTGATGAAATTAAGGCACAGGGTGAAGAACATTTGAACATTCAAAAGAGCCCGATATCTATAAGGACCAGGCGGACCTATGACCGCTGACGTAGCAGATTGTACTATAACCATTTTTTTGAGCTTTGCTGTAATACTATAGGTTATGCCAGCATATTGTGTTTCTTGATTTTTCAGTTATTTGACCATGGGTTTCTCAAATTCTATGTATTGGTTTGCTCGGTGTACTTTTGAGTTCATAATTTTCATATAATTTTTTATGTAAAGCATAGAATTATTCAATTTCCTCTTAGATTTCGATTTTAATCTGAATAATTCTATTTATTCACATTCGTCAACAATGAAAATGATGAACAAATGTACATCTATATTCTCTGCCTTAGACCACACCATTCCGAAGAATGCTTTCAATTGGAATAGTGACTCAGTATGGATTGGGGAGTCCCCAACTTCTGTTTCTGATTTGGTGCTTATTGACAAATCTGAAAAAGATATAAATTTTACTTAAAAAAACTAAATATTAGATCTTTATCAGCAGAAGTGTGCTAATAAGCAGCAGCAGTCATTTGAGAATTGCTAAACAGGCTCAAAAAATACAAGGCAAATTTTATCGGGATGAAAGAAGAGAATTTTCATGTGTACGATGCAATCAAAGGAAGGATATGGAAAGCAACCATTCATTGTGTTTTAAGAACGTAAACTTTTAGATGTATAAACACAATCAACAGTTTATACCTTGCAAATGGTTAAACTGGTTTCTGACTGTATTTGACTACATTGTAACACTAGCTATAAAATCCCAGTGGGCTCGAGCTTGCTTCTTTCCATGCTGCACTAGATCACCAAAAGCCTGCAAACTCACACCAACAACTTCATCATACTCAATCCCAAGTTCCTTCTGTAGATACAGAAGTGCTTGTTATAAAAGAAACATACAGATGGAGAAAAATTGAAATGCATAGAACACGAGATAAGAGAACACCTTAAATTCTTTAGGATTCTTGGTGGAATTCTCAGTTACTGCATCCCTTATATCTTTGAACATATTCTTCCGTCTTCTCCATTGATTTTCTATATCCATATACATCTTCTTCACAGCTTTTCGCTCCTGGACTCACCAGATTAACTCCCTGCCTTAATTTAATCAACTTTTCCTCCATTTGCTTTAACTGTGAAGAATTACAATGTCATGTATAATTTGTTCCTGTCATCCAGCAGAGAACATCTCAATTTGATATCCACATCACCTACCTCTTTCCCCAACTTGACTTGTTTTGCTTGCACCTCCTCCAATGTCAAAGTTGATTGCAAACTTTTAATCTTTGCAATCGCCATTCATGCAGACCACATTAGAAAATGGAACCATCACCTCTGGGTTTCAAAAGGCAAAATCTCATCAAAGTAACAAACCCAAAAGCTACACGATATTAGCAATGAAGAACAGAAAAGATAGGTTGCAATTGACTCCATGCAGGCAGCCTTGACTGTGTACTTCTTTCACGACAAGAACTTTGAGACCGCACTATTTTTTGCCTTTTTGCACATAACCTGTTGCAAGGCCAATTCCAAGGGGTTACGAAACTATAGTCTCATGAAACTTAACAATTTCATAAATAAATTCATAAAATCACAGGGAAGGTATTTTCAACTAAACCAACATAGATGCAGACTGCAGCAAGCTGTACCGCAATAGCTTTTTTTGTTCATTGAGCTGTTCTTGCAATATGGAATTCTTTTCTTTCATCTGATTAAGCTCTTTGTTTTTGGAATGTCAAACTGGTCTTTCCTAGCTAGGTATATTTTCTTCTTGCCATACTCTTTGAACGATATTTTCCCACCATCAGCAAGATTATCCAAAGGTTTTTGCACTGCAGCCTTTTTGAGATTAAACTTTTGTAACGAATCAGCCAAGTTCTGGGAATTCGATGGCTTATTTTGCTGCCCCACAAAAAAGGAAGAATAAGATAGCGAAAAAATCCCCAACCAAGTAATTGAAACAGAGAACACAGCATATTCATATAATCAAGTCAACAAGAATATTCCCTACACTATTAACTTTATAAATATTTCGTATAGCCTAACTCAGGAAAAAAAAGATAAGAATAGAATAATTATTTCTTGAGAAATTATCATCGCGACGATAGAACATCGATAATGTTGCAATCTATATCAAATAATGTAATTGAATAGTTCAGTTTTTACGAGTGAGAGGGGGAGGAGAGAGACAAATGTGAGGGAAAATGGGTTGCCTTCCATCGTCACGTTAAATATCAATATTCTTTTTCAAGAGAAAGTTAATTGTCCTTTTTAAGTTTGATTGGAGAAAAAATGTATAGATGTTGAGCTAAAAAGGTTCCAAAATGTTTTGAGTAATGGCATTCACAAATTTAATGTAATAAACTAACAAAATTCTGAAATGAAAAATTAAAGCGACTGAAAATTCTGTGAAAAAAACTTATAACTACATCGTAGAAATGTTAGAAAAATGGTTGAAATACACCTCATTGACGAAGTTGAGCACGATTCCTGAAAATAAATATGCGAGAATAAATCCACAGTTCAATACAGGGTTTGATTTTAATTACTGAAGAACAGTATTTGTGGTGCATATGCCCATCTGTGTATCTCTTATTACCTTCAGTGCTGTCGAATTTGGGAGCCATTGATCGGCGAATGTAAAGCGTAGGAAAGAATTTGCAGAGAAAGATTTCTGCATTTGAGTAGAAAATGTTTGGAGAGAAAGCCCTTGCTTTACAATTGGAGGTCTCCCAACTTTGAACGAATTCTCACTTTAGTCACGAGTATTTTTTAGAAACTCATTGCCAAAGTTTCAATTTCATTTTAATTTGCCTCCGTTTGGCACTCATTAATTTCTCATTCTCATTCCCATTCTCATTCTCATTTTTCATTTCAACCACACATTCTTCAAATAAAATAATATTACACACAAATCAAAAACTTTTCATCACTTTTCCACCACACATTCTCACATCAATCACTATTCCAAAATTTCTATTCTCCTCAAAATTAGATTCAAACA